GTTTGAAGTGGGATGCTTTCAAATTACTGGGACTTCCCAATCCTAGTACTTGTTGAGGGTCTGGTGTCTTTCAATTCTTTTGCCGGCTCACCGACACTAAAAAGTGCCTCCAACACGGGCTCATAGCCTGGAGCCAAGTTCAACACCCTTAGCACAAGTACCCCAAGTTTGTGCCAGGCGATCTGCATGGTAACCAACCCAAGCGTCCCACGACCGTTTCTTCTCTCAACTTGCCCCAGCTGCTGTACTGGGTACTTTCCTCCGGGGAGGTCATTTTCCCCATGTAAGGTTCAAGGGTGGCTTGCATAACAGAAGGTCTCACTCACACATCGGGATGTCCGTCTCTTCCTTGATTTTTATGACATACAAACATAAAAATCTCCTCCTCGTAGACGCCAGAGAGCACTATCTTCCCTGATGGCGGTCTAAGTCGACCCAGGGTTGATAAATGAGTTACGGTCATCAACGTTTGTACGGTACACCATGGGTAGCTACCCCACTAACGCTCCCGAGTAGACCTTCGCTGCCGAAAGCTTGACCAACAATCCCCCCACACTTTGTACCGGCGTCTATCCTTCAAGCTTCAAGATATCTACGTACCGCTTGGTGCTCCTTCTCTTTTGGGACATTTGGTCGGTCAATTGAAAACAAGGTTCTTGAGTATGTTAGGTCTGACATTTTGTCTTGCATTATCCACCCCTCTCCTTGCGGAGAATTTAGGATAGTGCCTGACCAGATTCCCACCGCCCAATGGGAACCGGTATTGTTTTACGGTTATCTCACCACGAGTCCCCAACCTTCATGTGCATCGCACATTTGACCAAAAGGATTGCTGTGTCTATATTTATGCTTCGTTTCCGTTTTCGTGTTGGTATGTATGTAAGGTGGCCAATAACCTTCTACTCTTGCTTACTTTTGCGTTTTCAACTGTGGAAGAAAAAAAAATAAAAATAATAATAATAAAAACAAAAATGGTCAAGCGTCTGGAAATGTATTTCGTTGGATTCAATTATTTCATATCTGGCTTGTCATGTTTGTGTTACAGATATGGAAAATAAAAAGTCGGTTAGTTCAGTTTTTCCATGTCTGGCTTGCCAGGTTTGTGTTACAGTATGGGAAATAAAAAGTCTGTTAGTTCAGTTTTTCCATGTCTGGCTTTTCAGGTTTGTGTTACAGTATGGGAAATAAAAAGTCGGTTAGTTCAGTTTTTCCATGTCTGGCTTGTCAGGTTTGTGTTACAGTATGGGAAAATAAAAGATCGGTTAGTTCAGCTCTTTCATGTCTGGCTTGGCGGGTTTGTGTTACGGTATGGGAAAATAAAAATTTGGTTAGTGCAATTATTTCATGTCTAGGGGCTGGTGGCTTGTTTTACAGCGTCGGTGCCACTCGACGCCAACCTATTCAAATTTTGCGAACAGGGTGTAGGGGGGGGGGGGGATACTCATAGCCGTTCATGACGCAGTCGTGAGACCATTGACCTCGCATCCCTCCAAAGCCGAAACGGAGCACGCCGGTTACCCCACCGGACTAAGCTCTACATGGACACGGGGGGAGGGCGAAAACATCCCTAATGGAAGTAAGCATTTTCGGCAACCACATGGCTCTGTATTCTCGACGAAACAGGCACGAGAGAGCAAGCAGAGCGGGCAAAGAGTGGCCACGGCCAAGTACGCAAGAGTAGGGTGCCGAGTATGCAGGGATAGAGATAAGGTTTGACAGGTAGGGTTGCAAGGCATGGCGATCGGGTACAGTCGCGTGTCGGCCGCATGTAGAAGCAGTGTTAAGACCACCTCCTGTCAACACTATAAATCATCAGATATTGACATATCAGTAGCCCTTTGACGAACGGGAGGTTTGATGGAGAAACCATGTACAACACCCGGTGCGGTTGGTGTGGCGGTATAACTACTGCAGCAGTAGCGCCATGTTTTCTCTGCAGTGGCGTATGTTTTTTCGGACAATAAGCTCACACCTGAAGAAAGTAGCTCAGCTCGCGGCATCCTTTTCCCACGCCTATCACCAGCACCCCCGTGGCCATGGGGTCCAGGGTACCGCCGTGCCCAACCTTAACCTTCTCACAGCAGCAGCAGCAGCAGCAGCAGCCGAGAAGCGATCATGTGCAATCACAATCAACGGAAGGGAGAGGGCAGATGTTGGGCACAGGGTCTCCCGACAAATTTGCGGCACGCGCTCGCTACGTACTTTCCGAGGGGTGGTTTTGGTAACTATCCTTCGTACTGATCTCTTGGGTTGTCTTTCTTTGCCCTTTCTGCAGTATGAGATATGGAGCGTGATGGGCCTTCTTCAGGACACAACAGCAGTGCAAAACCCTCCCGATGGACGTGGTATTCCTAGAAGAACGGTCGGTGCTCACGCCATCATCACCGTAAGTTTACCGATGAATGCAACGCGCCCAGCTTGCTCGATCGGGGGTTCGATGGCTCGCTGGCTCGGCCAGCTCCATCTAACTGCCGTGGAGGCGACAGAACGTTTCGCTATCGCTCCCCGATTTTCGACCACCTCTCCTCCACGAAGAGGACATACAGTCCAAACAATACGTTTTCGGAAAGCTCTCGACGAGACGGTTCCAACCGGCATCGTCGCTCTTTCTGCTGTGGAGAAGGCGAGCTTTGAAAACCGGCCCACGGGGGGGGGGGGGGGTGATATGTTGCGCAATCACCTTGGGCCCCGGTTGCCGCCGGCGAAGGCCTCTTCCTGCTCTTCTTCTTCGCGGACTCGGAGCCCTCTCCCTCCCCCTCCTTTGACGACCCTTCTGCTGGGTTTCCCGGCTGCGGCCGACGCCTCCGCCTTCTTTTCTCCTGCTTCCCCCTCCTCTGAAACCACGACACCCCTTTCCAAGGCTAGATCGCGCCTGGATTTCCTCTCGTACTCCTCTAGTCAAGATGTTCTTTTTTCATCGGACGGGCATTGGGGGGTGCGCGGGGAGGCATTTTTTTTTGTGACGTTGGGTAGTAGCCAAAACTCATGTTCCGCGAACAATGCAGACGAAACAAACCGCAAGAAACAGATGAATTGACTACACCATCACGGAGTTCTTGGAGACACGCCGCGATTGCCTGCCGTGCATCGCGGACAGCTATTAGGAAACATAAAATACAAACACAGAAAGACTACCCATTCGAGATAAGACCACAGTCGAACGGGATGTGTTGAAGTCTTCACAGTGAATGGAGGGAAACCGGCTGGGTACTGGGCTTATGTAGAGTCTATTTAAGCCTATACACTGAAAAATTTCGATCAGTGATGCCAGCAGGTGCTAATCACAAATGTTCCAGTACAACTGCTGTACTTGTACTGCTGTAGTCTCACCTCTCTTCCCCAATTCAAATCGCACCTTGATCTTCTGGACTACGTCGGCCGAGGAAAAGCCCTTCGGCTTGTAGACGGCGAAGATGCCATGGAGGTGCTCTGGCGGTGGGTACCCCCCCGCGGGACGTCCTCCCGCCGGCTGTTGCTGCTGCCCAGCCGCTAGCACTGTGTTGGGCATGGTCCGCGGCGTTGTGGACAGGGTGCGAACTGTGACCAATTGCGCCGCGTTTGTGGGTGCAGCAGCCGTCTGCCTGCCGAAGGCCGCTGGCCGGTGGTGATGGGGCAGCAACCTGGACTGCTGGGTTGCACCCCGCATCCGCATTAGCATCCTTGCCGTGTTGCATCGACAGCTTGCGGTGGTCGTTGTTGTCATTGCAGCAGCACGCAGTGTTGCGGCCTTTGGTGCATGCGGCTCCACCGCTCGTGTATGTGTTGAGCTGGCGATCGCGCGTGGCGAAGAAAAAACTGGCGGGTGGACAAAGCTGGCGACGCGGCCCGCGACCAGGGCCAAGACTACGGCTGCCGGCCTTGCCGGTGTCATCTGTACCCCTGGCAAGTATGTGAAACCTGGCACCTGCTGCTTGGACCTCTGATATGGATCTGAGGGGGTCAAACGATTGTACTTTTCTGAAAACTCCCACGTACCCTTCGACAACTTGGAACCCGCGCCCAGCCGTGGAGACCCCTCGAGGAGCGCGCAACCCGACCATGCCGACAGCCCGTGCCACCGCCAGTGCACAGCAGCTGCAGTACTCCGCAGCAGTCCACTGGAGCAAGGCAAAAATCGACCCAAAGGTTTCCCGCTGTGTAGGTGCGAGAGCCTCTGGGGGGGGCTCCACGAGCGTACGCCAAACTCTTCGCAACCGAACGCCTTTTTTGATTGAGCGGACACCATGGGAAATGCTGCGTCTGGCCTCCCCTTCGTCGTGGGCGAGGAGGTCGACTCCTACCCGGAGAGCCCAGAGACATGCTCGTGGCGCATGCACAGCGGGACCAAGCGGGTGAGTCAGACAGTCCGTCGCCGTGTGGTGCGTTGCGCTTCTTCCTCCCGGGGATGGCTAGCTACTACATCGACGTGCGGGGTAATCGCAAAGGCGGCGGATTGTTCTCTGTTCTTTCAGCCCAGGAAGGCCACGGAGGCTGGCTTTTTGTGCACAAACAGAAAGGGCTGAACTCGCTGCTGCTGTAGTTCGGCATGCGCATCATGTCCTTGTGCTGGCGCGTGGTTCCGTCGCTCGATTTTGACGAGATTGTGGTTAGGGTCGGAAGATATATTGTGCACCCAAAGTGCACAGCTATTTGTTCCACTCGGATTCTTCACGGAAACGTGGGCTGGCTACCTACTGCCGTAGGCACCACACCACTAGCTGGCAGACCCACCCGCCTGTGCATTACATGGTCGTCAAACCACCGTACTTTATCGGCCCACTCGTAAGATACGAGGGGTAACTTCAGCTAGGCTGAGACGTTTGAAAGCAAAAAAATGGCCAGCCTCATCGCCAAAGTGCAACTCTGAACCCTGCGGTATGGTGGGCACAGCAAACTCTCGTACGGAAGAAGACCTGGCGGAGCCTGATTGGCTGGAATGTCTACCGCGATTGTGGGAATGATTGCACCGCTAGATAAGACCACCTGTGCTAATCACCCCATGGAAACGAAAAGAAAGTAAAAAAGAACGACCAAAATTAAGAACGGATACCTCAGCCTCGACACTGTTCCGGTACCGGCTCTGGTTATTGTTGGCTCAGCCCAATCAGTCCAAAGGGCTCACTCTGGGTCGTCGCCAATGATGCTACTGGCTCAGACCGCGGCTTGCCACGAAGCTGTGGCGTAATCAATACTTCACAACATTGCTGTCGAAATACAGCAGCTGTTACGCCGTGCTTACCAACGCCTGCTTGCAGTTTTTGTACGCCGTGACTTTGCTTGCAACTCGAAACTTGAATTCTGCGGTTTGCAAAGGTCACCTATTAGTCGGCACAAACTGCTGTCTCTAAACGCGAGTAGTTGTAAGCGGAGGCGGGAATACCGAGCGGATCAACCAAGTCGGCCACCTCCAACCATTTTGTCCCTCGTGCAGCCTCTGGCCAGACTTTGCGGCGCTGTCGCCGTCTACAAAGTTCATGAACCACAGATTTGCTATCCCTTGCGCTATGCATCGAATCGTTACTGCACAGAGAGAGCTGCTCCACCAGAGCTGTCCAAATATGAATAGGGGGGGCACCGCACATGAATTAGGGGGGAAGGTACCGTGCTGTCGTTCTCGTCGACATGGACAAACAATGAACGCCCTTTTTCCTAGGCGTGCAGTGAATACGAAAGAAAGGCTGATGCTTTCGTTGTGTCCCTCCAACCCCTCATCATCCTAAGACCGGCGGGGGCAGCGTGTCGATATTCCGGCTGGACCTGAAGACGTGCCCGCCGATAGCGAGGGTGTCGGGGCAGGAAGGGATGAAGAGCCTCCGGACGCTGAGGCACCCACACGTGCTCGCCTGCCTCGACTCGGTGCAGCTGGAGACGGAGTACGTGATCGCCACGGGTGAGAGGGGCGGCGGAACCCTCGTCCAATCGGGGGGGGGACTGGAAGGATCACTCTCTTGTTAGTTTCCTATCCCCAGAGACGCAAGACCGTTGGTTTTATGTCACACCACATAGCTCTTCATTTTGACCTCGACGAGGCATCCGTGTGTCATTCGTCGAGGTTACGCCGCATTTCTACACGTTCCACATGAACCGACACATCCCGAGCGGCGGCAAGCCAAGCGAGCTAGCATGCGAGCCACCTAACGGGCGAACGGGGTAGAGGAGACGGACCCTCCTCGTTACATCTTGTGTGTTGGGGTGATTCTTGCGGTGGATGGAGAGCGGCGGGGGAATTGGTTGCGGTTCGGGGTGCCGTAGCCAGCCTGCACCGTTACAGCGGCAGCAAGTGCAAATGTTTTTGTGTGTTCACGTGTCTATCGGCGGTGTACTCCATGTCTGCGGCGCTCATCACACGGGGTAGTCAGCCTGTACCATTGCAGCAGCAGCACCAAGTGTCCTTGTTTATTTATGAGTCTATCGGCGGTGTGCTTAATTTCTGCGGCGCGCGGCACACAGATTTGCGCCAAAAAGCTTGCCCCTTTCTTTGACGCAATTTGACGTGCGCCGGTGCTGCCCTAGGCGGGTGTGACGACATTCTGGAGTGGCTTCGGAGAAGCGGCTGCCCTTGGGATGAAACGACATGCGCATCGGCCGCACGTGGCGGA